GGGGAGGAAATCGTCTCGAAATTTGGACATAGCTAGGAATACAATCTTCAATTAACAACACTTCCCCATTGTTATCAAATCCTGGGGTTCTCGAAGTTAGATATTGAAGTAGATGCGAATAAGTACTCAACCCAACAGGATAGACCTTGAGAGCAGCTTATCCAACTCTTCATATACTTAAGCGTGTTCCACATTGATAACACATGAAACGGCTCATGCAAGATGTGCATGAAGATACATATTGGAGGGGGATCCTCCAATATGTTTCTCACTAGATGGTCGTTTAAAATTTACAAAAAAAATAAAATTTCTGAAATTTTTAAAATCCTGCCCCCGGCGTTAATTCTGCGTTTGTCAGGCCCCGCGCCTCCTCCTCCTTCTTCCTCCTCGTCCTCATCATCAAGTAGTGCTGCTGCCTTCCCAACGCTCTTCCCGAGTGATACCACACCGGTGGTGGCAGCCGCGCCGAGGGCTGCTGATGTGGCGGAGGTCACCAGGCTTACGGCAAACTGGCATAGGACGATAAGGGTCATCTATCGAGCTGTTAAGTAGTATAAGGGATAGGGGGTGTAGTGAAGAGAAGTGTAGGAAATGTGGTAATGAATAGGACCTCTAGGGGACGTGAATAAGCATAGAGTATTAGAAAATAAGGAAAAACGGGAAGTATGAGTGGAGGAGCTTGGTACGGCCGAACACGCTGTGGGAAGTGTTATGTTTATGTCGTCGTTTGGGTGACAAGGGACGAAATGGGAATTTTTTTCATATTAGCGACGAGTGCTGGAGAAACCCTGAGAAAATTTCGGAAAAAATTGTAGGTTATCGGGAAGTTCTGAAGGTCCTGAGGTCACTCGAGGAGAACGAACATATATTTATATTTCAATAGTGGTCTGTGTTAGGAATCACAGCGATGCATATGTACTGGAGTCCCCGGTGGTGGAGCACCCAGCGGTGTCGATGGAAGAAAAGATAAAGTATCAGAAGATTATCAAACGCCCTATGGACTTGCGGACTGTTGAGGTAATTTACACGAGAATTTGATCGGCTGCATGAATACTCTAATTCGACGTAAACGTTGAGAAGTACCATATTTTCCACTATTAAGGCGGCACTCAACGGCAGCATCCCTTTGTAACGCCTAATACACTGGAGTTTCACGACACGTTTTTTCCAGGTAAATTTTTAGATGTATATGTTTCCGCGAACACCGATAACACAGTTGTTGTCTTCGCGAAGTGAAATGTGAAATATGTTTCTCATTAGTGTTTTTCATATCACT